CACTGTTCTTTCCTATCTTACCTCTTCTATTAAAAGACCTAATCTTCAGAGCAACCGTTCAATATTCACTGACTACTCGCCAGAGATCACCCTTGATAATTAGTGCTGCAAGCTCAGCTGCATAAAGCCTTACCATAACAACAAGGAGTCGCTTCAGATTTAGTTTGTAAATATACAACATTATGTATGTAACATTATAGCATTTTATATGTAGCATTTGTTTGTCCTGTAGCGCGAGCGCTATCGGGTTAATTGTTTCCTTTTCCGTCTGTTTGCGTCATCTGGCATTGTTGCTTCGCGTCACGATGCGATCCCCCTCCACCTGCTTCACACGACCACGGCCACCGGCCACAGCCGCTGCCGGCAGTGGGAACTTTCACATTTGACCGAATTAAGCTCTTGTGAACATGGAAAAGCCTCTTACCAACCTAATTTGTAAAATCTGCTTTAATTTCCGAAGTGGTTAGAGTTTTTTGATGTAATTATCTAATTTTTGAAATGGGTTTATGACAGTGTTCTATCTCTTTCTCTCTTAGGTTTGATTCTTCCAGTTGTTTCTTAAAATCTGTACATCTACAACGTCGGTATTTCTCTTTCCATACCGCCCCCCCCCCCTTTTCCTCCCTGCGGAGGAATGAAACAAGGCTCAAGGGTGGTGTGGCAGTAATGTTTTTATGGGTCGTCAATAGCAGCGGTGCCGTGTCCTGGAAGGGGAGGCCCCTCCCCGACCTCCCCATGTTCGTACAGTCCCTTTACTAATTTCCACTACAGTTCTTCCTCCTCAGCCTGGCTGGGGCTAAAGGGAGGCTCTATCGTTCCCAAGTGAAACGTTTTTTTATCGTAGAGGGAGGGGGTGGGGGAGGTGGGGAGAACATTACGGATGCCGTGTGTTCGGCTTTCCGAAAATAACATGAACATTTTCCGCTTGCCTGTATAGAATTAAATTTTTTTGAGGACAAACTAAACGATTTGGTAAATTGACCAACATGAGAAAAAGTCGTAGAATTTATACTTAAATACGAGGATGAGATACGTTTTCTTTGCTACAGACTACTGACGGTCACACTTCACGATTCAGCCGTGGCACTGAAGGGGGAAAAAATCCCACGAGACTACTATAAGGTGTCGCGCTTCGATTGGTTGGCGTCCTAACTCTGGACCAACTCGCTCGCTCACTCACTCACTGTGCTAAACTTTAGTGACATAACGGCCTGCCAGAAACGACTCGTAAAAGTCAAGCAGTCGACAAGTTTTGAAGTGAAGCGCGAGTCGCGACCAACCTCTGTCTGGAGAAGCGACTGGTGGGGGCGGGGGCAGGGACCTATAAAAGAGTATTATAAACTTGGGGCAGGGTAAAGGTCAGGGTCTTAGACGGCTGTGCAAATTATGACTGTTATGTCGGATTACTTAGCAGATGACTCTTTAAAACTCAAATATACAAATAAAATGTTGTCAGTTAGCTTTAACTCACAATTAGGAAAAAGAAAACCAAACGATAGACTAGCAAACTATACATAAACATACTTGCAGCAGGAATGATCCGAAATTGGTTAAGTGCCACCCACAGTTCATCCAGAAGACCCGATCCTTGTAACAAGAACATGATTGAACTTAAAAAACGTGTACTTGACTTTTGTACTAGGTATATACGCGCATTTGTAAACATAAGTTATTGTTACTTTTATTGTGTGGCTAGGTCAGGGGTCTCAAAATCGAGCTATCCGCCGAGCCGCACCTGCATAGGCCACGGTGCATTACAAGCTCTTCGGCAAGAAGAGTGAGAGAGATAGATGTGGTGGTGCCTCAGCGACTGACCCGTGCCCGGCCGCACTTCTGGCCCTGTCCACGCCAAATCAGCAGGCAAAAAATGACCCCCTTGAACTTTTAATTTTCTTGTGGCTATCGACGCTCCCATGGATGTTGCACTCAGACCTGAAATTATTTTTTCGATATCTCAACTGGTTGGGGGTGGGGCGCGAGTCAAAGTTCCGTCCCCCACCCCCTCAAAATCACTATTTTGGCCCGGGCGCCGGGCGCGCGCGCGTGGCGTCCACCAAATCTTGCCAGTGTGTAGTACTAAAGTAGGCCTTCCGAAGCCGCACAGGGCGAACCACATACTTTCACGACTAATATCTACAAATAATTCAACATTTAAAACGCGACACGCTTATTTTTCAGAAAGTTATTTTTGGTTTTCGTTCGCACTTCGGCGCCAGGTACTAACCTACCTACCATAGCTACCGAAAGCAAAAATAACTGGCGTGGGATCTGTATGGGCTAGCTTGGGAAACCCGGAAAATTGTTCAGAGCGTGGTGGGACCCATTTCAATTCGCATTAATGGCGCCAACGTCTCTGGGCAGATAGAGTGGCCACTCGTCCGGTGCATCGTGCCACTTCCCTTTCCATTTTGCTATGCGGGTTGCGGGTTTTCATTAGTTACGTGCGGTGCCGTGCTGTTCTCTCCTACATGCACTCGTCATACACGCGCCTCACCACACGCGTGGAGAGGGAGGTGCTGGCACGATGCACCGGACGAGTGGCTACTCTAGTGTGGCTACACAGTTTTCTGAGCGGCCGGGCGGTAGAGTTTGCAATCGGTTGGGCAGGCCCGGCTCGCTTGCCCGACGTCCGAGCGGGCGAGAGAGACGGCAGTAGTTGTCTCTCTCGCACTCACGGTGATCGCCATATGACTTCGGGTCGGGCAGAGCCACCAGCGTGCGTCAGGTAAGCGCGCCGGGCTTTGACCGACCGATTGCAAACTCTACCGGGCGTGGCGGCGCTTCGACGACTTAATAACTTAGAAATGTTTAATTTTTAATGTTCAATAATATTTAGAAAATTAAATAGAATTTCGTATCAAGCACAGAACCTCAACTTTTACGCATGCAATACACCCGTTTTTCAAGGTGCTACCCTGCATAAAGTCCTTTTACAATATCGAAACACAGCAAAAGACAGCCCACAGCTAAAGAAGGCGGGCGGCCCTAGGACTGCAGGTAAATAGTTCCCATATCGGTTTCTTCACACACAATCGCAAGCTAACTATCAGACTGTCAGCCAAGGGTCGGTGTTACTGTCCAATTAATCCAAAACCATTAAAGAGACGCTGCTGCTAAACGGACAAATTTCCAAAAATTTCACATATTACACAAAATTACTGTAATTTACAGTAAATTACGTAATTAATGGTAACGGATTATTATTGCATGTAATTTTAAATCCCTAATTTGATTTTTGCCGCCACGCAACTACAAGTTCTGCGCTAATAGCAGCCTGATTTTTAGGATTTTTTTTTTTGTGACACGAGAGAATTGGTAGCATTGACAGCAAGAGCACATTTTTGTGCTCAGAAGTTCATTTTACATGTACAATTTTTTTAAAGCAAAAGAGCAAGGTGTTAAGTGCAACTTGTACTTGGGACAATGCAAATGGTATGGCATTCAGTGCATTTTGCGTTTGCTGAAGCTAAGAGCATTTTGATCTTGAGACAATGCAAATTTACTTGTGACACGATTTGGGTTTTTTGGGTGGAGAAAGCTACCCAGACCAGTAACTGTAATAGATACACCTATATATCCAACGTTTCCTCTGAGTTGAGCGCTTAGCTCTGCTCTGGATAACTGACAACTTACTAACTAGACGGTTATTAGGGGTTCAATTCCAAAGAATTCCCAGTAATACTGACAAAGCGGTAAAAAGATCGGAACAAAGAGGGAGCGTACTGCAAGTTGTATTTTTTTTTGTGTACTTTCCGTTCAGATTAATGACAAGAACATCGATGTGCAGAACAAGCAACAAGTGCGCTCGGTATGTGGCCGGTATTGGCAAGATTGGAACCACGCACAATTTAAAATGAGGAAAAGGGGGAAAGGAGCCTCGGAATATCAAAAGATATTGTGCAGAGGTGAAAACTAATCCAGCTGCCAATTAACCTTTCTCTGCCTCGAGTGATTCATTTTTAATTTGATATCCCCTATACCAGATTTAATAGCCCGAGGGAAATTTTTGATTCGGCAACATGTGCGTGAATGAGGCCTGAGCGGCGGCGCTGCCCTCAGCTCCACCGCTAGGGCGCAGCACGCTCCAGGTTCACTATAAGAAATCGTGCTCTCAAAATGATGGTTTTGGTCAGATTTTGCAATTTTATCTCATGAAATGGGATTTTATTTTGTTTATTGTAGGTATCTAACGTGTATGGTCCATCAGATGAGGGCACGACGCGTGTATCAGCCGTATGGTTGAGCGTGGCTCAACGGAATGTGCTAAGGGCGACTGGACCTCCTGCACGGAACTGCGGTCAGGTCCTAGACTCCCCCAGGACGATGTAAGTTTAACGACGGCTCCACCAACTTAATGATGGCGGCCTGCTTGGTTGGAGAAGCGGGGAACCCACCCGAGGGACTAACCAATCCATTGCGAAGCTCCAGCCGAGCCCCAGCGGAGTCCCCGCAACAAGCATTATTTGTTCAATTATTTGGACGGCAGCAGAGTCAGGGGCGCGCGAGAACCAACAAAGAGATCTTAGTAGGAAAAGAAAACAATCCTTCGCGCTGGACAGAGAACACACGCTCTCGTTCCAGCCAGTCTGGTACTTTGGTGCATTCGCATTGCCCATTGCACCTGTCGCCATTAAAATGCAATCTGCCCAATACGCCATACACCCACGACAAGAGGCGTTTTAAGTTTCCGAGGGAACGCGCTGTCGCATAATCAGATTCACGCTTCTTGACACGCGCGCGGCAAGATTGTACTTTCGCGGCAACATCATACCGTACATCAAAAAAATATTGGTTCACTTAAAAATTTACAACAAATGTTGTAAATTGACGAGGATATTTTTGGAGTGTCGGGATGTCCGCAAGTTGCCCTCCTCAAGTAGTCAGTAGCCGCTAGGATTTATTAGCTGAACCAGTATAACTTATGGCAACTATTTACGCTGCCTGTCTTGTGGCAGTTGTCCACTCTCCCACCAATACAAAAATAACTTTCTTAGTCTGACCTGCTTGTCCAGGGAGTTGTCCTTCTTGGAGCCTGAAGTAATAAGGCGCTCACAGTAGCACCCCTCCAGCATCACGACCCCCGACGGACGCGTACACGACTGAGAGTCGTAGTAGAACAGCAAGTTCTGAAACAAGACAAAACATCGTATGAGAGAGAGCGAGAGAGAAACAGAAAGGGGGAGAGTGCAAGCGCGCGCGCGAGAGAGAGAAAAACCGAGGGGGGTTTGGGGGGAGGGTTGTCCGCCCACTAGTGACCTGTGTGACACCAGGTGCCCCGTATCGCATTCACACGGAATAGAATACGGGCTCGGAGCAGCGGACGTGGCGTCTGAAGGGCAAATAATAAGATCCACCTTTTCTTCCGATTCCTCCTATATTATCTCCACACCTCCATCCAACTCTGCTCTACCTGGAATCCACCGCCTGCTACGCTTGACAAATGTACTGCAGGGAACGGGTTATGGGCGATAGAAAACGTCGTATATCGCTTATTTTCGATTCTTGGGTTCTAATGGTGCTTTCCTGGTGCCATTTTGGATGAAAACTGCACTGTGAGAAAAACAACGAAAAATCAACGGACAACAGCTGCAATTATTTTCCAGACGTACAGTACCCTAAATTTAGTTGTACGGTCGAAGCAAAACGGTTGTTCCCGGTTGTACCGTACCTCATTTCTGGGGTACGGAGCAACCGTGTCACGCATTTGACCTAGTCTGTTCTTCCGTACCTCTTTTCTGGTGTAGGCTATTCTTCATTTCCATCTCTTATTTTTCATTTTTTTCCTCAAACGATTTCATAACCCTACCTTGCCTGTTATTCTGATTTGCAATAAGGCGTGGTTTACAAAACCGACATTTTTTGCGTCATTTTTCTGGACTGAACATGTAATTTTACAGTCCTTTGGACGGAAATTTTAAGGAGAAGGCTATATCTCTGCCAGTTTGCATGGTATGAATTGGTTTTGTTTTGATGTAAATGAGTAACCTTTTCCCTTCCGATTGAAAACTGACTGAACTTAAAGTTTGCCTGTTGTAACTGTGGAACTCTTAAGTTCACCAGTTCAAACTGCAGAACTCTTTAGTTCTGCACCAACAACTGGCAAACTGTTACGCAGAACAAAAAAAGTTCTACAGTTAGAACTGGCAAACTAAAGAGTTCTGCAGTTACACCTGGTAAACTTTAAGTTCTGCAGTTACAACTGGCAAACTTTTAGTCCTGCATTTACAACTGGCAAATTTTTAGTTCTACAGTTTAAACTGGCAAACTACTACACACTAAGGTTAGTAGAGCACAGCAGTACACGCACGCACCGCGAGCGCTATGAGAGCTTGCAGAGGCTGAACTAAGCAGGTTGGTAACGGCGAAGGACAGGCATACTTTGTCTTTAAAAACTCAGCCCACATTGTCAAAACGGTTACTGATCAAATCGAGTGAAACGAGCTTGATTTCTTTCAGTTAAACAGATAGCCGACGGGCGCTGACAGACACAAATATGTCGATTCAGCAAACGACGAAGTTAAAGGTTAAACAAAGTGTCAATTCATTATGTGTGTGCTTCATCAACGCGCCTTGACCCAGCTTTGCAGCGAAAGTGGTATTAGTTGGGAGGGCGTTGCCGTCCGACCTGCTCGTGAAGGGGTGGGGTGGGGTGCGGCTTGGCCCTCCGACCTGCTCGTGGGTGTGGCCCTGGAGTGGTGCGGCGCCGTATGGAGAGGACTGCGGCACGGTGCGTGGCGTGGCAGGGTGGGTCCGCAACGAGCTGGTCCCTGTGGGGCCGGGGCCCCAGCCGCAGGGGCAAACAGCGTATCGTAGCGCTACCCTGATTATTTCTAGCTGGCCTGGCGGGACGAGGGAGGACGGCAGGGCTCGACTGTGAATTTTTATCGACGTAGGGCCTTTACGTGCAGTCACACTACGGAGTAGCTGAGCAAAGTGTGTGAGCACAGAGGATGGAGCAAATACAACGAAACTAAATGAATGATACGAGCTTGACGAAACAACGAGGAAGGAGCTAAATGTGATGTGATGGAGCTAGAAAAAAGTCTATCCTTCACCCTTGCGTACCCCTGCGTATTTTCAGAACGGCTTGATTGCGTTAGTCCTGTTTTGTACATAGCCGTATCTCTTCACAGTCACGCACTAATCGCGTGACGTACGGCGCCCCTGCATGGAATTGCCCGTGTGTTGTGAATTCTGAGATGAAAGTGGGATGGGAACTACATTTGCAGACACACAGAGTAGATGTGATGTTGGTAAAAAGTGAAAAAAAAACTGTGCAGTGAATCGACATAAAACTGGAAATAACGCGTGTGCTCGCATAATAGGAATGGGACTGGCAACAGGTTGGTTGGGATCGGCGAGAAAGGAAGTGCAAACGTTTGCGACTGCAACGTTCCGATACCGATGGGAACCCCTTATCGACGTAACCGTTTGCTGCTCGCCCACAAGAGCGAGGCGGATCATGGGATGAGCGCAGGGAAGGGAGGCGGAGGGAGGGGTGTACAGAGCTCTGCTGCCAGGTCCTACGTGGCTCTGTGGGATTGTCGTCCAAAAGCGCACCGACAGCAATTCTGCAGAGTCACCGTATAATTCCGACTTAATTACGCTCACAATCACAGTAAAAGACAACAGCGGCACAAATGTTCCAGTATCAAAGTTTGAACCTGCAAATTGTAATATTACAAATGCGATGTCACAATTTTCAGTTTAGTTTTGTGTAAAGTACAGTGGTAACGCCACAAACCACGTGGCACATGTCGTTGAAAAATAGCCATGGAATTGCAAACCAATCGAATGAAAATTGTAAAAATGGAAAATCTAAAAAAAAAAACACACACAGTAAAAATATAAATTTTAAAACCCCGTCAGATAGGAAACTGAGGATTTACCATTAAGACTTAAAGTGTATTCAATGCACTTTTATAAAAATACCATTGTACCAACAACCGTACAACGGCCACGCAAAAAAAGCAAAACAAATGATGTGCTGTCAGAGTTAACGGAAGCTGATTCCGAACTAAAAAAAGCAGTACTGTGTTTGGTGCTAAAGACAGCAGTTACTGCGACATTTTACTCTTGGTATGACGTCAGCAAATGATCTCTGCAGTTTTACAGCTGCGCGGCGCGGAAAAGTATAACCACATAGTAGTGGACTCAGGACAGTGTTCGTTGGTTGCTCGGTAGAAACTTCGACCGCTAAAAGGCAGTATAATAGAGGGCACAAATCAGCCATGAGCGTCAGGGACGCTGTGCTGGACCTGAAGGTCAGCCGGCTGGGTGGCCCGCACTGAACTGAGGTACGTAAGGGTAAGGAGAAGAACGCTGAGTGGCGAACGTCACATCGTGGGTGGCGGCGCTAGCGTAGCACGACGGCGCAAGGTCGATAGCCAATAATAGCCAATGGACTCGCCGTCCTGTCCCACTGCCAACGTGTGATTAATGGTGAAACCCTGTGGAGCTAGGGCCCTCTCGGGCCGCAGGCGCTCTGGCTGGCGCGGGGCCGGACTGCCCCGCCCGAGGGCGGCCGGAGGCGCCTGTCATGCCGAGGGTAGGCAACTTCCCGCACAGCTGCGTTCCGCGCGGCCCGCCTCGCCGGCGGCCCGCGCCTTCCGCGCGGCAACACAAACAGAGCCTACAGTTTTCTGGCTGGCTGCGGAGTAAGCGGGCGTGGTGTGTGCGCGGCTGGTGGAGGCCAACTCGCGCTGCTGTAGCACGGTCTCGCCAGATTTGTCAACGCAGACAGTCGACGCCGTAATAGAGTTTAGGCGAGCGCAGCTGGTGTGAGATATGGGACCTATTGAGCTTGCTGCCCGCGGCTGGAACAGGCCAGAGCGCACTAGCAGCCCTACAGGCTCCAATGTGTGAGCCTCAGTCAGTACGCCCTGGGCTCCCAGCCGCCATCAGAAGCAGACGTGAACGTCTAACGTCTAGTCTAACGTATACTTACACGTTTTAAGTTTTCGGCATCAACAGAATCAGCGTCTTTTAGGGATCATTTTGATACTAATATCTCAAAATGTGTACGAAAAAGTCATTAAGCGGTTTTCCGAAAAGTCTGCAGAGGCGTGCCGAGGTGAGTGGTTTTCCATACGGTCGCCAGAAGTACGCGGTTTTCTAAACGTTCGCTAGAGTAGCGGATTTTATTCTCGCGTGTCGATATAACATTATGGAGATGACCACCGTGTTGTCTCTATGCTAATGCCGTAATGCGCAAGCGTCCGCTGCCTCGCGCGCCTGTTGCAGGTTGCGGCAAAAAACGTTATTAATTTCTGACTTTCTTATATTGGCCGATTGTTTAAATCAACCCGAGGGGGGTGGGGTGTATTGGGCGAGGGGGGGAGGGGTG